AATCATATTAACAAAAAAAAAAAAAAATCTTTGGGAGTTCCTATACGAATTCAAACAAAGAGTCTCCCTGGCTCGTAGGTAGCGAATATTCCCCTTTTTTTGGTGTTTTTTTCCCCCGAACAGTGCTCTCCTGGCTTGTCTGTAAGAGAAGCGGGCGGCGGTACAGTGTTCCCAGGGTTTGCGAGGTATCCGTCCACACACTCAACGACCAAGTACCGCTGCCGGCATTCGGGAGACAAAATGGCCGCCATTCGCTGTAGTAGGTGCGTACGGTTTATGAATTGTGGTCACCCAGAGAGTGTACTTGAGTTAGGTGTTTCTTTTGAAGTTAAAAAAGCCAGAGGGTGGCCGCAAATGTTTCTTTATTTGTATGTCCCAATATAGTCACTTAGTATAAACTAGGTACACATTAGCAGAGGCTTGTGAAGGCCTTTTCTCCATGCATCAGGACTGCAAGAAATGTACCGCAGGCCGCAGATGTTTCTTTATTTGTATGTCCCAATATTTTGTGGGCTACCACAATAAAAATTTTTTTTAAAAAAACATAAAATACAGTGTTGGCTACCTCATCCTCCTCCTCCACCGCTGCTTCCTCCTCCACTGCCACGGGCACTGTCTCCTCCACCTATGGGTTACTTAGTATAAACTAGGTACACAATAGCAGAGGCTTGTGAAGGCCTTTTTCTCCATGCATCAGGAGTTGAGCATTTCAACATGCATCAGGACTGCAAGAAATGCACCGCAGGCTGCAAATGTTTCTTTATTTGTATGTCCCAATATTTTGTGGGCTACCACAATTAAAAAAAATAAAATAAAAAAAACATAAAATACAGTGTTGGCTACCTCATCCTCCTCCTCCACCGCCACGGTCACCGCCTCCTCAACCTGTGGGTCACTTAGTATAAACTTGGTACACATTAGCAGAGGCTTGTGAAGGCCTCTTCTCCATGCATCAGGAGTTGAGCTCAGTTTGACCAATGAAAGAGAATACCCTGCACTCCAACACTCTCTCAAATGGATAATTTGTATTTTTAATTTTTATGTTATTTTAAGTGATTTCCCTATCCACATTTGTTTGCAGAGCACTTGTCCTACTCTTCCCCCCATTGTACTTCCTTTTGCAACTCTCTAGCCCTTTCCAGGAGTTTTTTTAGAGGCATTTTTGTGGCCAAAAGTTCAGGTCCCCATTGACTTCAATGGGGTTCAGGGTCAAGTTCGAGACCGAACCTGGCCTTTTTTTTAAGTTTGTCCGAACCCGCCGGACCCGAACATCCAAGTGTCCGCTCAACTCTAGTTCTGTGTATAAAAGACCGGCTTGTACCATTAAATGTATCATTGTCCCAACATCAAGTGTTGTCTGTTGTATGGGGGGAATAAGGGCTATAACAGCTCTTTCTTCCAGCCCATGATACCCAGTCAGATTTGGCATTTCAGAGAGATCTAGGGATGTATGGCATGTGGGGGTGCTTCTCTGTATTATGTTTATTTTCTGGGGGGGGTTTGTGTTCGACTTTCTGTGTCCGGGAGATAATTAGTTTAACCAACAGTTGATAATGATCTCCTAAACACAAAGATGCGTAGGCTGGCTTATGTTACTTTGAATGGAGACCCCTGCTGGGGGTCTGTGTATAAATTCAGTGTACCTTGCCTTAATAAAACAATTCTTCTTCACCCATCACTACGTCTCGACTAGTGTTTGGGTACGATAGTGGTATCCTTAGCAGGAGGGTATTATCACTCTGGAGCTATTCACAACTGGGAAGCGACTACCTATGCCGAAAGTAACCCACTTTCTCAAGGTTATACTATCACAACCACCACACAATCCGAGACAGTTACCCTTGGGAAGAGCCCGTTCAATTTGTCCACTATTATGCACTATCCTCCTGATTTAGACACTGAGTGTCTGGATACTTTGTTTAACCATTCACATTGTTGTATATGTGTATACTTTATTTGTTGTTTTTGACACTATGACCATAGAAACATAGAAGTGGCGGCAGATAATGAACCATTCATCCAATTTTCTAAATACTTTCATTAGTCACTTGCCTTATCTTATAACTAGGATAGCTTTATGCCTTTCCCACACATGCTTAAACTCCTTTACTGTGTTAACCTCTACCACTTCAGCTGGAAGGCTGTTATATGCATCCACTACCCTCTCAGTAAAGTTATACTTGCTGATATTATTTTTAAACCTTTGCCCCTCTAATGTAAAACTTTATTTATGTGAAGGACCGCCTGGCACCCCAACTGGGTTCCTCCGCCAATCGTTGCTTCCTAGTAGCCTGGAGTACTATAAGCACTGCACCAGACACCATAAGCACCGTAGCCCCTTAGCAGCCGTAGCTTGGCTGGGGTCTCGCTCTAATCCACCCACCCTGGACCCAAGCCCAGGATCCAGCTTCCAGTGGGTGGACCTCATGGGCGTAGGAACCGGGGAGGATGGGGGGACGCATCCCCCCCAGCAAATCATGCGGGAGGGACAGGGGGGAACAGGGTATAGAGAAATCCCCCCCCCCCCGCTCCGCCGGCCGCTGGTGGCTCCATCAGGGAACCGCACGCACTGCAGACTGGGAAGGGGAGTACCTCCCCTTCCGCACAGGAGCGCCGGGTGTCACGTGACGTACAGAGGTCCCCCTGCTATGTCAGGTAAAAGGGGGGGACAACAGTTTGTAGGGGGGAGACCAGAGCCGGTCACCTCTGAAAAGAAAAAAAAACAGCTGCCTGAGCATTTTTAGTGTTAATTAATGGAAGGGTTAAAGAAGGGGTGAGGGGGGAGGTAGAAAAATTTATGTAAGCGCTTAGGGGGGCTTCTAATATGGATGGGAGGAAGAAAAATATTTGGAAGGGTTTTCTACTAATATGGATGGGAGGAGGGGGAAGGTAGAAAAATAATTGGAATGGTTTAGGGGGGCTTTTAATATGGATGAGAGGAGGTAAAAAAATAATTGGAAGGGGTTGGAGGTGCTTCTAATATGGATGGGGAGAGGGGTAGGTAGAAACGTAATTGGAAGGGTTTAGGGGGGCTACTCATATGGATGGGAGGAGGGGGAAGGTAGAAAAATAATTGAAAGGGGTTAGGGGAGTACTAATATGAATGGAAGGGGTAGGGTGGGTTCTAATATGCATGTAAGGGGTAGGGGGGTACTAATATGCATGTAAGGGGTAGGGGGGTTAATATGCATGGAAGGGGTAGGTGGGGTTCTTATGTGCATGGAAAGGGTAGGGGTGGTTCTAATATTCATGGAAGGGGTAAGGGTGGTTCTAATATAAATGGAAGGGGTAGAGATGGGTAGTAAAATGTATGGAATGCACTTCTGAAAGTGTCACTGAATGGCAGTTAGGAAATGTGGTCATCCTAAGTCAGGGGCAGTATTACACAATCTGTATATGTATAAAAAAATATAAAAAGTAATCTGCAAAGTACAAAATGTTTGTGTCAAATGTCGTGCTAAAAATTAAGCTAGGAATGTGCATTTTTTTTTTTTTTTTAAATACTTTTTAGAATAATGATACAGACATTTTATTTCTTACATTTGTGATGATTCTTTTTTCCCCTCTATTTTCAAGGGACACTATAGTCACCAGAACCACAACAGCTAAACGTAGTAGTTCTGGTGTCTATAGCATGTCTTTGCAGGCTTTTTAATGTAAGCACTGACATTTCGTAAAAAGGCAGTATTTACATTACTGCTGAGGAATACCTCTAGTGGACACTCAGATGGCCACTAGAGGTGCTTCCTAGTCGAGACATGAATGCCGCCCTATGAAGTATTTTGACGAAATAGGGGGCGCAGCATCAGGAGGATCCTGAAGCTGTATATGGGTAAGTAAATCCCCTTCCCTGTAGTGACCGTTTAATGTTATTATTTTATCATTTATATAAAGCGCCAGCAAATTCCGTAGCACTGTACAATGGGATAAACAAATCCTAGTTTGCGGAATAAAAATATACCCGGTGAGTAAAAATGATATCCCTCCAGATTTTTTGGGGTTCCTACGCCAATGGTGGACCTCTCCTACTCCAGAGAGTCTAGCAGGTATAGCTGTGTAGCTCTTACAAGAGCTAGTGATTATACTCAGTATAGCAATCAGAAGCAGGTATAGCTGTTACCTACAATCACGAAACGAGGCTGCATGTTGATGGTGAAGTGAACTGATTTTAATGGGACCACGCTTGACCTTTTATGACAATCCCCATGCAAGCGGCACTCCCCCCTGGACCTGAGAGTAAACCACAGTAGAAACAAATACAACATCACATTGGTTTTCAGATCCAGGACACTCCCATACAAACTAGGTCAATCCCTCCTCTGTACTTGGGAGATAATTGAGTCAAGTACTGTATTTATTGTATTTTTGTAGTTATATCCCCTGATAGCCCCTATCTGGGTGAACAACATATCCTAAAATCTCCCAGATCGGTCCAGGAATTTCCTGGAAGTCATAGTTATGGCCGACCCCACGCATGGTCCCATGCCCAAAACAGTTTCATAGAATCGCGGCTAAGTGCCGCTGGGGACCGACCGGGAACAGTAAAGTTTTCATGCCGAAAATAGTTCCAGGGCATTCGCGGCTAAGTCCCCCTGAAGTCTATTCGTGGTTTTGGTCCATGCAAACAGCCGCCAGTGAGCTAGCATTCGGTTCTATAGAAAGTGCCGAACCAGGGGTAATAAAATCTGGGTCTTTATAGTCGCTGACCTAGCCCATAGTTTTTTGGCAGGAGGCTGGCAAGCAGGCCCCTCCAAAAGCCCATGGAGAGGTTCTGGTCGCCACAATGTATTTAAATGTTTCCAGACACCAGCTGATTTAGTATGAGAGAAGAGAGAGAGTTGTATTTATTGTCATAGACCTTTCATACCTATAGTTTTACTGAGTACTTGTATTACACCTTGTCACGGGTAATAGGGTCTCTTAGTGTCCCTTGGTCACCACTTCTCTAATCCTTCACTGGTCCTGGATTCAGCTACAGCATACAGTGATTATAGCCCTCTGGAACATTGTAAAATCCCCCAATATAGTGGACAAGACCAGTTGTATTTGGTAAAAGAAGAGAAATATTTATTTCGGGGAAAACCACATGTATTTATCCCCCTACAAACCAAATCCTGGTGTCTTGGACATAATTAGGTCAAGACATGATAATTAATTTTGGTGCCGGACACCAAGACAAATTTCTCAATGCCTTTTATATAAGCTTATTAAACACAATGGATTTCATTCAGTTCAACATTTTAAAATTAACTGAGCACACAAGTCACGGCTTCTGTGACATACCTATACTTATTATATTTAGACTGCAGGACAGCTACCTAAAGCTATTTAGTGTAATGAGTGTCTGTAACTGTGTGTGAGACAGGATAGCAGTATGTAGTACTATAGTAGCCTCTAGTGGTGCCTTCGGAAAATAACAATCCACCCTTTTAACAAAAGGAGTGATACATGATTTCTGTACTAAGATTTTTATAATTTTTGCACTTTTACTAATCAATGAGCGTTTATTATTATTATTTATAATAATATACACTACATACTGCTATCCTCTCTTTTTCCAATTCCAGGTATAGAATAAATGGTGATACTATATGAATAAATAGCAAACTGATACTTAACACATTGCAAATTGGGTTTTTCTTTTTTTTTTTATCAAAAGTTTTGCTGTAGAGAACACCAGCATTTAATTTTCCATCTTATTTTGTTGTTGAAACCGATGGGAGGAAGTACCGTTGTGAGGGCTGGCGCCAGGAGTAATAATTTACAAACTGACCAATGATTCCGTGTTTGCCCCTCCCCCCATGTTCTCATAGGAGAGTCTGTAAGGCTTTCGTGTTGAGTGCCAAGGGGACAATGAGTGGGCGTGACTTCACACCCTAACCACGCCCTCTATCACTCTTCCTACTTGTTGTGCAGTTCCCCATCAGGTCGTAATCACGCCATATAAAGCCTTGCTCGGAGCTCACGTTCTTCATTCGTCTGTGATTGTCATAGAAGAGTACCATGTCTGGCAGAGGTAAAGGCGGAAAGGGTCTCGGGAAAGGCGGTGCTAAGCGGCACAGGAAGGTTCTGCGTGACAACATCCAGGGCATTACCAAGCCTGCAATTCGCCGCCTGGCTCGCAGGGGAGGAGTGAAACGTATCTCCGGCCTCATCTACGAAGAGACTCGCGGGGTGCTGAAGGTCTTCTTAGAGAATGTTATCCGGGACGCCGTCACCTACACCGAGCATGCCAAGAGAAAGACTGTGACCGCCATGGACGTAGTCTATGCTCTCAAACGCCAGGGCCGCACTCTCTATGGCTTCGGAGGGTAAAACCCTGACTCGGCTTACCGCACACCCTAATAACCCAAAGGCCCTTTTAAGGGCCACCCACTATATCCTAATAGAGCTGTGTCTGTCACTGCCCGTGTTGGACGCTCTGTGTTAGTTAATGCCGGCTTCCCTTCTCTTTGTTACACTGGCGTTCACTGTGGCCGGGTTAATGTTAAACTCTCGCTTATTACTGGCTCTAAGAGCCGTCATGTTAACCAGTTGTAATAGACCGCAGGACTTTATAAAAAAAACCTTTCACCCCAGCAGTGTGGTGTGCAGGTCCTCCGTGCTCAAAGACAGAAACTGGGAGGGGGGACACAAAGTGCGGCCTATTGTCGCCATTTTGAGACTATTTGTGGAATTTCCCCTGTAAAGCTCAGCCACAGAGAAGCGCTATTTCCCTGTGATTGGTTGTTTCCTGAGGACCGGTCTCCTGCCTATGGGGACATAGCATTGGCCAGATCAAGGAGCGGTTTGTCTTTTCTGCATCCTACTCCCACCACAGCTATAAATGCACTACACGCGTTAGTTGCAAAACCTCCAAGGTGGCTACTTGGGACCCACAAGTTCCATTCCCTCGTCCGTAATTCCGGTACTGAGGAATGGAGCAGGTTTTCTAAAGACGGATTTCAGTTAAAAATCCATCTAGAAGGCGAAGGTAATTCAAAGAAGAGATACAAGACAGTTTGTGCAACATGTGAGATTCATTAAACCATAATTACTGAGAACAGTAGAGATACTAGCGGGTTTATCAGGAGGACTAGAGCTCTGACAGACAGTGTGGGTGGCTCTTATAAGAGCCTTTGGGTTTATAATAAAGTAGAAGAATGCGATTACTTGGCGCTGGTGTACTTGGTGACAGCCTTGGTGCCCTCGGACACGGCGTGCTTTGCCAGCTCTCCGGGTAGCAGCAGGCGCACGGCGGTCTGGATCTCCCGGGAGGTGATGGTAGAGCGCTTGTTGTAGTGAGCCAGGCGAGAGGCTTCTCCTGCGATGCGCTCAAAGATGTCATTGACAAAGGAGTTCATGATCCCCATGGCCTTAGAGGAGATACCGGTGTCGGGGTGGACCTGTTTCAACACCTTGTACACGTAGATGGCATAGCTCTCCTTCCTGGTCTTCCTACGCTTCTTACCATCTTTCTTCTGGGTCTTGGTCACGGCTTTCTTAGAGCCTTTCTTGGCGGCTGGTGCAGACTTGGCTGGATCAGGCATGATCTACGATGTTTGCTGGAAAGACTATGTCACTCTGCGCGCTCCGGCAGCTCTATTTATAGGCAAGCCATGCAAATTAAGCCCTTCCGCTTCCCGTGATGGGATTGGTCACTGCAGACAGGTGACATAACGATGTCATAGTTTCAGCAATTGATTGGTTCCCTGTATAATGTGTCTCTAATTGGCTGCTTGTAAGGTCATCCAATCACAGAGCAGAGTGTGTCTATAAATAACCCGTATGAGGGGGAGGTTTCGTTATTATCAGCGACATTCTTGAACCAACATGTCTGGCCGCGGAAAGCAAGGAGGAAAGACCCGTGCAAAGGCGAAGACTCGCTCATCTCGAGCTGGCCTTCAGTTCCCAGTCGGCAGAGTTCATCGTCTGTTGAGGAAGGGGAATTATGCAGAGCGTGTGGGAGCCGGTGCCCCCGTCTATCTGGCTGCAGTGTTGGAGTACCTGACCGCTGAGATCCTGGAACTGGCAGGGAATGCCGCTAGAGACAACAAAAAAACCCGCATCATTCCCCGCCATCTCCAGCTCGCTGTCCGTAACGACGAAGAGCTCAACAAACTGCTGGGAGGAGTGACTATCGCCCAGGGAGGTGTCCTGCCCAACATCCAGGCTGTGCTGCTTCCCAAGAAGACCGAGAGCCACAAGTCAACCAAGAGCAAGTAAATCATCAGATACCGATTCTTCATACCCAAAGGCTCTTTTAAGAGCCACCCACTATTTCCGAACTGAGCTGAATGATCTTACCAATGACTGCAGTTTAAAAAAAAAAAAAAAGTTCAGCCACTGAATGTAAACAATACTGTGTAATCTAGTGTGAAGAAACAGGGGCGGTTATTTCATTGTTTTTTTTTTTTTCACTTTACACTCCGTGCCTGCAATTTTCCTTTTACAGTTTTATTGACTAAATAGCTCGTTTAAGTCAGCTATTGCTTCCGTTCGAGTAACTGAAAGCACACAGGTGTAAAAGGGCTACGTGGAGGGGAAGGATTTAGGCTCATTCTAGTGCAGATTTGGTGGCTCTTAAAAGAGCCTTTGTGGTGTTTGTGTGAGCAGGTTAAAAGCTTATGCTCTTTCTCCTCGGATCCTACGGGCCAGCTGGATGTCTTTGGGCATGATGGTGACCCTCTTGGCGTGAATGGCACACAAGTTGGTATCCTCAAAGAGACCCACCAGGTAAGCCTCACTAGCCTCTTGCAGAGCCATGACAGCAGAGCTCTGGAAGCGCAGATCAGTCTTGAAATCCTGAGCGATTTCACGGACAAGGCGCTGGAAGGGCAGCTTGCGGATGAGCAGCTCGGTGGACTTCTGATAACGACGGATCTCCCGGAGAGCCACAGTTCCCGGCCGGTAACGGTGAGGCTTCTTCACTCCGCCGGTAGCTGGGGCGCTCTTCCTGGCAGCTTTAGTGGCTAGCTGCTTGCGGGGAGCCTTGCCTCCGGTGGATTTACGGGCGGTCTGCTTAGTTCTGGCCATCTCTGCGCGATCACAAAAAAATAGAATGAATAACAAAGAGCCGCAGCCTTCCATTTATAGGCCGCTGGACGCATTCTGATTGGCCCGTTCTCTGTACTCATCCTGATTGGCTCGTTCTCTGTACTCATCCTGATTGGCTCGTTCTCTGTACTCATCCTGATTGGCTCGTTCTCTGTACTCATCCTGATTGGCTCGTTCTCTGTACTCATTCTGATTGGTCCGTTTTCTGTACTCATTTTGATTCGCTGCTTTTTGTCCGCATTCTGATTGGACGAGAAAATTAACCGTTCCGGAGTTCAAACTGGGCGCTAAAATGTCCATCCTCACTGATTATAGAGACGGAACTAGATCTGCTTTTATATAACTGGTATTATTGGCGTTCTACCCGCTGCAGCGATTCATTAAACTATTCCACGAACAGGGAGGAGAGAGACCAAAGCGGACTCCCTGACATATCATCAGTCCCACTCCTGCGTGTTTGTAGATTTGTGTCAGTGGGCGTTTATTAGGGTCCGGTCACTCTATTTATGGCTCTTACAGCTTTGCGTTTCAACATGAAGTGACTCCTTACGATAGGCCGCTAGATGGCGACATTGCATTAAATATGCCTTTGGAATAGACCGTTGCTTGGGTGAATGTATTTTTATTACAAGTCTCCAAACTGAGACGGGGAGCATCTAATCCCTTTCAGAACACCGTCACAGATTGCAATGGCACCAACAGGAACAGCTTGATAAATACTCCTAAATCTGTATTGTAGGCAGTAGATGTGTTTACGAAACCAAACATTTTGTACTGGCAGCGATAGCTGAACAAGCTAAAGTGGAACGTCCGAGCATTCCATTCCTAATCTAAACGAATATCCCCTTCAACATACAGCGTGTAAAAGCCAATAAACACAAAACCCACGATTCCCCTGTGCTCATAGCTCTGAAAAGGACAAGTTGGTGGCTCTTAGAAGAGCCTTTGGGGTTTAAAAAAATAAAATAAAAAATCACGAGTAGTAGCTCATTTCTTTTTGGGAGCTGCCTTTTTAGCCTTTGCTGGACTCTTGGCGGCTTTGGCTACCTTTTTAGCCGGGCTCTTCACTGCCTTCTTGGGCTTGGCGGCTTTGACTTTCTTGGGGCTCTTTGTGGCTTTTTTAGCGGGGGCTGTCGGCTTCTTGGCCTTCTTCGGGCTCTTTGCGGCCACCTTCTTAGCTTTAGCCGGAGACTTGGTGGCTTTCTTTGGGGCGGGCTTCTTGACTTTAGCCGGTGCCTTCTTGGGCTTAGCAGCCTTGTCCTTGCTCTCCGCCTGCTTCTTGTTGAGCTTGAAAGAGCCAGAGGCTCCGCTCCCTTTGACCTGGACGAGAGTCTCTTTAGTCACCAAGCCCTTGAGAGCCAGCTTGAGGCGGCTGTTATTCTTCTCCACATCGTAACCAGCGGCGGTCAAAGACTTCTTCAGGGCTGCCAGGGAAACACCGCTGCGCTCTTTAGAGGCGGACACAGCTTTAACAATGAGCTCGGACACGCTGGGACCGGCCGGCTTGGCGGCTTTCTTGGCGCTGGATGTCTTCTTAGGCTGCTTCTTCTTGGAATCGATTTCAACCGCAGGTGCGGCAGCGGGAGCAGTTTCAGCCATTTCGCTTTTTCTCTGAGATCAGACGGTAATAAAAAATAATCCTTGGCCTGTGCCAGTCTCTCTTATATAGCTCAAGCTGACACCCGATTGGCTGTTCAGCACCATTTCTGATTGGCTCAAACTGACAGGCGCAGCTCCCCGCACTCTCTCCCATCTCCTGCTTCACGTCGCTCTCTGCTCTGGCTCTGTGTTTCCTGCTCTGTAAAACTTATGTTTTATGTTAAATGTGGCCACTAAAATCGGCGCATTCTCCCCTGAAATGCACGAAGACACCTCATTTGACCTTCCATAGGAATTGCTTGGCTGCTGCCTGCTAAGAGAACACAATTCACTCAGTGAAAGTTTGTAGAAACCAAATGGAGTCAGCTCGATTCATTTCAGACCTCTGACTTTATATACATTTAAAATACAATACGGTAAATGTTTTACAGCTCAATGTCATGCAAGATAAAGAAGGCCCCCCTGAGGATGTAATATGAGGATTAAAGTGTTAAGAAGACCAGAGCAGGATAATGTGTTTCTCTTACTCTTTCACACAGTTAACACAGGCAGCAGTGATTCTTGCTGGTGCTATCTCCTACTACCTTCATACTTATTTAGTTGTCTGTTCCAGTTGTGAATAATCAATTACATTTGTATGTCTATTAAATAACATTAATCGTGTTCATCAGTTGTAATACATTTGATTGTTTGAATGGTTTCAACCCAGTGATATAAAATGAGTAACAGGGAGCAGTGTAGCTGAAAGAGGACAGACAGCAACAATCTGTCTCTTGCCTTTTATTATAAGGAGGCCAGTAATAAGCCCCAAACCAAAGTGTTACTATTTAACAATGATTATTTTTTGGTTAGCCATTGCTTCTTTCGAATTAAACATCACTCCTTATCTCTCTTTTTATCAATCTCTTGAGCTTTTCACCTTGGACAGATTTATTTTTTTGTCTTATGATTGTATATGCTAATTTGTTTAATCTCAGATGGTCAGCTACTTGTCTCTTCTCTGTAAACTTCATACACATTCAGTCCCCCCATTAGATTTGTAGCTTCCATAAATGTAGGATTTCTTAGGGAGCCACGGAAGGATAATGGTTATCAGAATTTACAGTGTTAAGGCAGCAGGTTTCTCAGATTGGATGAGATTACTCATTCTAAAATAAATAAATAAATATATATATATATATACCGGTATATAAAATGTAACAGGGGCAGAAATGGAACCCTGCTCAACATCTTGCAGGGCAGTTAGGCTCCCCAATACACCACCAATGAAGCTTCAATGAAATAAGGAATGTAATGCAATCATGTTTCATATAGTACAAGTAAATATAAACGCTCTTAAATTAATCGCATGAACAAATATAAAAGGACCTTTAAAAACAAGCATTATAAAGTGTCAGCACTTCAAAAAGTCTTACCCTTAATGTTTATAAAAAATGTGAGAATGCGACAGTATATTAATTTACTGTATAGTCTTTATCCACCTCCGCAGTGGTGAATATGCATTAACCAAATTTAATAACTATATTTCTTGTATTGTTATCAGAAATAAAATGGTGTTGAGAATCCACAGCTTGGTATTGCAGTAATGCCTTTACAAAAATTACTTCAAGCGGGATAAAATCAAACACAGTTTATTTGACAAATGGTTAGAAGAAGAATCTTTGTGAAAAATAAAGTGGTATAAAATATAATGATAACCAGTATATACAGTTAAAGGACCACTCTAGGCACCCAGAACACTTCAGCTTAATGAAGTGGTCTGGGTGCCAGGTCCCTCTAGGATTAACCCCCTTTTTTTTTTTTTTATAAACATAGCAGTTTCAGAGAAGCTGCTATGTTTATAAATGGGTTAATCCAGCCTCCAAATCCTCTAGTGGCTGTCTCATTGACAGCCGCTAAAGGCGCTTGCGTGCTTCTCACTGTGAAAATCACAGTGAGAAGACGCCAGCGTCCATAGGAAAGCGGCTGTGGCTCCCCCTTGGGCATCTCATGTGTGGCCCCCTTGGACATTTGAAGTGGCCCCCCTTAGGCCTCTCATGTGTGCCCCCCCCCCTGGACATTTTAAGTGGCCCCTTTGGACCTTTGAAGTGGCCCCTTTGATGTGTGCCCCCCTTAGGCCTCTCATGTGTGGCCCCTTTGAAGTGTGGCCCCCCTTGGACCTCTCATCTGTGTGCCCCCTTGGACCTTTAGAGTGGCCCTTGGGCCTCTCATGTGTGCCCCTTGGACCTTTGAGGTGTGGCCCCCTTGGGCCTCTCATGTGTGGCCCCTTGGGCATCTACTGTGTGGCCCCCTTGGGCCTTTGAAGTGGCCCCTTTGGTGTCTGCCCCCCCCTTAGGCCTCATGTGTGGCTCCCCCTTGGGCATCTCATGTGTGCCCCCCTTGGACATTTGTAGGGGCCCCTTTGATGTGTGCCCCCCTTAGGCCTCTCATGTGTGGCCCCCCCTTGGACCTTTGAAGTGGCCCCTTTAAAGTGTCCCCCCCCTTAGGCCTCTCATGTGTGGCCCCCCTTGGGCCTTTGAAGTGGCCCCTTTGGTGTGTGCCCCCCCTTAGGCCTCATGTGTGGCCCCCCTGGACATTTGAAGGGGCCCCTTTGGACATTTGAAGTGGCCCCTTTGATGTGTGCCCCCCTTAGGCCTCTCATGTGTGGCCCCTTTCAAGAGTGCCCCCCCTTAGGCATGTGTGGCCCCCCTTGGACCTTTGAAGTGGCCCTTTTGAAATGTGCTCTCGCCCCCCCCCCCTTTGGGCATCTCATCTGTGGCCCCCATTGGACCTTTGAAGTGGCCCCTTTGAAGTGTGCTCTCCCCCTCCCTCCCTTTGGGCATCTCACTGTGGCCCCTTTGAAGTGTGCTCTCCCCCCCCCCTTTGGGCATCTCACTGTGGCCCCCTTGGACCTTTGTGGGACTTTTAAGTGGCCCCTTCCTCTCCCCTTCCCTTCCCTGGGCCCCAGTGGGACTTTGTGGGACTTTTAAGTGGCCCCCTCCTCTCCCCTTCCCTTCCCTGGGCCCCAATGGGACTTTTAAGTGGCCCCCTCCTCTCCCCTTCCCTTCCCTGGGCCCCAGTGGGACTTTTAAGTGGCCCCCTCCTCTCCCCTGGGCCCCAGTGGGACTTTTAAGTGGCCCCCTCCTCTCCCCTTCCCTTCCCTGGGCCCCAGTGGGACTTTGCTGGCCCAGCCCCACACCTTTTAATTGCAGAAGAGTCTGTCCGGCTCTCCCTTCCTCTTCTCTCCGTCCTCCTGAGGCAGCCTGCTTCCTGTCTGCCTCATCAAACAGAGAGCCGCGAGATCACGCGGCCTCTTGCGCGATATCGCCGCTCAGCCCACCCAGTAGGCGGAGCATGATGCGGTAAGCAATGCCGGCCCCCCAGGACTACGAATAGCGAGATGGCCGTCTTTCAAAAGTGAAAGACGGCCAAAACTTTTTTTTAAAATTACACATAATTAGTGTTGGCCCGGATGGCGCGGCCCACCGGGCAAATGCCCGGTGTGCCCGATGGCCAGTCCGGGCCTGATCGTTCTATGAATATATATCTTAGACCTGCGAATCTACATGTTACAAATAAGATTGGAATGATGGATTTTTCTTGCAACAACGACAATAAAAATCATATTAACAAAAAAAAAAATCTTTGGGAGTTCCTATACGAATTCAAACAAAGAGTCTCCCTGACTCGTAGGTAGCGAATATTGCCCTTTTTCATTGGTTTTTTTTTTCCCCGAACAGTGCTCTCCTGGCTTGTCTGTAAGAGA